GGCATCCGACGGGAGTTCATGACTGATCTCTTAGATAAAGTGACTATCTCGTTCCAGAATGGGTTGGCGAATGTTGGAACCATGGAGGCGGGGCTAGCATCAGTGTTAGTTGCTCCGGAGACGAGTTTTCCCCTAGAGATACTAGCACTAATTGCCTCCTTTAAGGACAGACCACCCCTACTATCCTGGGGTGCACCTTCAATGTTGGGTAGGTTGCTTTTGTGCTTGATTTGCCAACCTTTGTGGAACTCAACTAGAGCTTTTGCCCCTCCTTGTGAGCCCTCTAGCTCTCTGATCAAGTCTAAGGCGAACTCGGTCTTGTTCTCATTCTCAGGTATTGGAGCCCCGAACTCCCCAAAGTACCCTGGTAAGTCAGAAGGTGTACCGCTGAATACTGTCTGTCCTTTGGACAGGAAAAGAAGTCGATCTAACAGCCCCATAATTCGGTAACTAGGTTGGTGAATTGACATTATGACTATACTACCACTTTGAGCTATCCTTTGCAACACTTTGACCACCATGTACGCGCTAGTTGAGTCTAGCCCTGAGGTAGGCTCGTCGAGGAAGAGGATGATTGGGTCGTGAATGATGTCGATACCAATCGACACTCTACGACGCTCTCCACCAGACACCCCACGGTGTCCTTCATCACCTATGATGGTCTTAGCCGCGTTCCTTAGCCCAAGCTGATCGATCAGCTGCTGGACCCTGGCTTGCTTCTTGGACTTAGACAGGGTCCGAGGAAGCCGAAATTCTGCAGCAAACATCAGTGTCTCCTCCACAGTTAGCATAGGGAAGAGCAAGTCATCCTGCATAACATAGGCAGATATAACCTTAAGGAGCCGCGACTCAAGCGGCTCCCCATTAAGGGTTACCTTCCCTTTCAGACTCCCCCTTGCAATACGATTTGCAAGGGCATCAATGAGCGTTGACTTCCCGGACCCACTCGCACCTAGCACAGCCATCACCTCACCATCTCGAGCCTCACCACATATATCATTCAAAAGAGTCTTCGTACGAGAAAAAACTCCTCCAGGAAACTGCTCCCCTGGGGACAAATTATGAGTAGTAATTCCCGGAATCCTTAACTTCCTCTGCATCTTCACATTGTACGTAAGGTTCGCGAACCTTAACACAAACGGAAGAGCCCGCGTCTCAGGGCTCATGTTAAGGGTATGGTGGACGGGGGTCTCATCCCCGGTAGCCTCCTTTCGAGCATCCCCCACACGCTTCAAGAGCTGGCCTAATGTCGGTGAGAATGACACACGACGACTATCACCAGCACCAGCACCGCCCCCACCACCAGCACCGTTGGATTCAAGATCCATGGAGTGGTAATTATTAGATGATCCAAAGTAAGGTAAAAGAGTAGGTGATGAACTGGCAGAGTCATCATCTACCACACGAGACATTTTAGTTGTACCTCTAAGGATCTCCAGCTTTGCACTTCCTATATATAAGAAAAACAAACTATTTTTGGTAATAGAGATTTATATTACTTCAAATATGGAAATAAAAGGCTTGTTTGTTTTTTGTTAAAATTGAAAATTTGGTAGTTTCATAAAGGGAAAAATTAAACTTAATGCATGTATGTGTCCCTTTTGTTATGGGATGGCTTAGTTTAGCTCAAATGCAAAAAATTATGGGAAATGTATATATATAGGATAGTTTTCATACAAAAAATATGGTTGAGTTATATTGATTTTTATAAGATATAGTTTGTTGTGAATGTGAAATTGGGTGTGATAGTGGAGAAAACGGAAGAATTTATGTATACTAAAAAGAGGGAGAGGAGGGTGAGAGAGAGGTGACCTAAAATCTCCTAATCTCTTGTCAACACGCCTCAAATTTCTTGAGTGAGCAAATCATATGCATCATTCAAGGCTTGTAACAAAAGGGTTTTTATTTCTTTGATAATTTTATTCTTATTTTAATTTTATTAAATAAATTAAATTATTTTTTTAAGGGTAGTTACTAGTGATGTTAAGAGGACACGTGGCGAAGTGGGTGTTTAGTTTTGAAGGGTAGTCATGGCTTATGTAATATAGTATGGAGAAAAAAGGGTGGGAGTATGGAGGAATTAGGTGTGGGTGTTAATCTACTGTTGGCCTTTTTTAATAATTTTGGTCCAAGTAAAAAGGATGGACTTTCTAGTAGCTATTAAAGTTTTGCTACTATTACATCATATATTTTTATTTTTTAGCTCCATTTTTCTTCTTTGTTCCGATGTCAAGGAACCATAGTCCATGGACTATTTTGATTGCTTAATTAATTTGCTAGATATTTTTTAGTGAATTTGCTGGATTTTTTTAGTAAGTTATTAGAGGAAAGCTTAGGAAACCAACTATCAACTATATAAATAAAGTTTTATGGAACTCTTTTCTTTGATATTTTGGTAGTTAGTTATATGAGGAGAAAAAACGAAAGTAATTAAGAAAATGTTATTTTATCGGAAATGAAGTGATCTGATGTATTTTGATTTATATAGAAAAGAAAAGGAATATTATGAAAATATATATTGATAAAGGTCATATAACAAAAACTTAAATAATAACATTCATATAAATTCTATCCTTTCCAAAATAATGACAGGTTGGGCTTGTTTTGCTATTCACATAATAACTTTGGCCATGATTTTTTTTTATAATAACGTATTAAAATATATTATATCTTGAATTATATTGTATTTGAAGTTTTATAATATCATTCTTTTTGAATATTTTTAAATAGTTTTTAATCATATCTATTTAAAGTCAAACTAATATATTGTCATCTGTGCTAAATTTGACTGTATATTATTCTAGGACAAAGAAAGTATTTAATTATTTAGTAAAAAATATGTTAAAAGTCGAAAAAGAATTCGTCAATGATGTAAACATCAAAAAAAAATCAAGGAAGTTTATTGGGAAAAGAAATTGTGAAAAATTCTCACGATTTTTTTTCTTTCCTTAGAAACTCCCTTCGTATTTTATTTCTTGCTTTATTTCTCCAGACACGAAGTTTCAGGAAGAATAATAGAAAGTACTTCGTATTATTTTATAATGGAAGTGGAGTTGGTTGAAAAATAAAAAAAAATCTAAAAAAAAAACAGAACTGAGAAGGAGAAAGTGATTATATGTAAAATTTTAGAATATGATGAGGGGACCAGTAGTGGGGAGGAAAATAGTAAAATAGTGTTAAAAGTTTCCAAAAAGAATATAGAGAAAGTAATAAAATACAGTCGTAAAAGGAAAGTAAATCAAGTAATAAAATACGGGGGGGAAACTACCGTAGTAGCTCTTAAAATGTACTCCATGCAAGAATTTCATTTTAAGGAGGTTTACAAATACACTGCACCATTTTTCTAAAGAAAATCAAACATCTTTTTTCACAATGTAAATACCCAATACCCTTATTGCTATTTTTAATTAAGTTTGAGCAACAAAAAATAAATAAATAATCAACCAATCAAAATTGAGTATAATAGTAGTCATTTTAAAGATGACAAAAATTGACGAATAAAAGATCATTATATAACAAAAGAAGTTGATTGTTGAGTTTGATTAACCCTTAAAAAATTTAACAAACAATAATTAATGTTTATATATTAGTAATAAAGTGGGTTTTGCGCGTTTTGAAAAACCTAATAACAGTATGTTAGGTTGATGCATGAGTAATTGAGTGCCAAATTCAAAAGAAATGGTGTGCTTTTTCGCCATATAAGTTTGATAGTAACCTCACTGGCTTGCTCCACCTGCTCTTTTTCATTAGTGGTTTATAGGATGGTGTATTAATATCTATAAAATCAATTATGGAGTGCAAGTGTACAAAACTACAAATTTATTACTCTAAAATGTAGTTTTCAAGTGTTACAATGTATGAAGTACAAAGTCTTAAAAAAAATAAAAAAATAAAAATAAAAAATAAAAAAATAAAAAAATTGTATGAAGTACAAAGACAGTTAAATTGGACAAGCAAATTGCTCTCATAAGTGCCAATTGCATTCACGACAATTTGTTGCTTAGAAATATTTGCATGCACAAATTAAACTGCCCATTGCGTAATACTCCGTAATATTTTCACCTAGGCTCCAATTCCATCTATATGCGCAATTTGAGTTTTCATCGGAAAATTAATAATGTCTACCGTAAGCAGAAGAGGATATTCATTAAGGCTTTGGGCCTAGCACCCTATAAATTTATTTATCTTTATTAGACATGGAATTTTATTGCCTTAAATATGAATATAAAAAATCATATGTAGTATTACAGTAGTGAAGTCAGTTATAATTAAACTAGAGGTTGAAAATTTACACTTTGGCTAAGATCCGCCACTATCCTTAAAATTATTCAATATACAAGCAAATGGGTATTATAAATAAGCAAACAAATATTATAAATAAAATTTAATGTACAAAAACTTACACCTAGAGTAACGGGTATATTTCGTAAAAATAATATTCAATAAAAAAAAAAACTTCAGTTCAGTAAAATAATTTCAATTTAGTAAAATAAGTAACTTTAATATAATAAAGAATCAGTAAAAATATTTTTTGTTCAGCAAAAATAATTTTAATTTAGCAAAAGTAAGGTAAAAATAACAGGAGCTAACTAATCACCCAATAATGCTGGATTATTTTTGGATTATCATCCTTGATAATTTAAATTACAATCTTAGAATATTAAAGACTTAAAGTTATGATATTACGCCCATAACAGGATCACGTAAACATATATTTGCAAGATTTTCAAGTGACGTAGAACCTCTCATGCATAACAAGGTAGTTCAATCTTTAGGTATAAACATATCCCCACAAGCCCCCCAACTTTGTTGACTTGTGTAGAGGAGCACATGGATTAACAAAAAGTAAAACTTGCATGATTAAACTTACCAAAATTGTATAGAGTACGAAATGGTGAAAGAGAAAGTTATGTGCTCGTGTACTCCGGTCAATCCCTTTCAGGAAGGAGCAATGCCTTTCCATCGAGATGTCGACAACACGGTCTTAAGAAATGACAGTATGGCAAAAAAGATCACAAGTTACTCATCAGAATATACTAGTAACAAGAGACAGACAAACTACAAACTCAAATGGTAAAGGATCAAAACAGTAAATTGTAATAAAGACTAACAATCTTAGCTAGGCACATCAAAAATCTCGGAGCTGTAACTTTCAGGAAAATACAAATTGTGGTCGGAGATGTCGGACAAGCTACTGCTGAGTAAATGGCTAAAGGATTTGGAAAAAAAAAAAATCTCAGGCTAGTACATCAGTTGAAGTTTGGTCCAAATGACAACTTTTTACTTTAAAACACTTGATCTCGTACTCAAAACGTTAACTTTGATCAGGTCAAGCTGATATCTTGCAGCAAAAGGAGTTTAGTTTGATTTCATACTATCACAGTTGTTGTAGTCATCCTTAAACACTACAGATAAGAGCCAACAAAAACTACTGCCCCGGAAAGAAAAGACAGATTGCCGAGGTTGTGCAACTACAGATCAGAACCGATGTATCTAATACGAAGTAGTAGTATTTCCTTCCATTCCACAGTATGTCCTGAAAAGTCAGCAATTTTAATTACACAACCATTACCAAAAATTCATTATCCGTAGAAAGCAGAAATAGTTCTGTAGCTTGACTAGCAGGTACAAACAGTGAGAACTTCATATCTGGTCATCCACAAAGTTTGCAGCCAACTCCCAGTAGTGGCCAACACCAGCATCAAAAAAAACTTTGCGGGCAGCAGCCTCAGTTCTGCAATCATGGATGAAGAACCGATTAAAACAAGGTTTTGCCACACTTCCTTGCCACACGAGAACACATTTATTTGGTGGTTTTTCCTCATCATCATCTTCCTCCTCATCCTCATTTTCCAGCTTGGCAGCCCAATCTATCCGCCGAAGCATCAGCTTCCCATACCTCTTAATGGATTTGCTTCCACCTTCAACGACCACAACACTAAAACCCTCAGAAATGACAGCGCAACCAGTTAAACGATTCTCTTGTGCATTAATGTCAACTTTAAACCGATTTTTTGGGTGTGAAAGGTCATTGATCTTATAAACTGATACGATAGTTTCCAGGGTATTTGGATCATCAAACAGCTTCCTTTCTTTCTTTTCACGCCGCTCAGCAGGTGTGAGTTTGCGAGCAATGTTCCTGTCCACATGGGCCTGCTCACGCTCAGCTGCTGCAGTTCGAATTTCCATCTCCAATTTTGTGGGGTCTTGAGTTGCCTCAGAGCCCAACACCTTCATGAGGTTACTCATTTTAACTTTAGGTTTGGGGGGCTCAATTAAACCTTGCCTAATCATCTCCTGCCTTTCCTTCTCCTTGGCCAAGCGACGCTGTGTACGGAGTTTCTTCTGTTCCTTCTTAGTAAGTTTCAGCGGTTGAGGTTGAGGAGGGGCTGGCTCTGCAGGAGGCTCAATAGGACGGGGGTGCTCAACATACATCGTGATCTTCTCCATCTTTACTCTATCTTCAATGGTGCTACCATCAGCAATATCAGCATAATCACCAGAACGCAGAAGAGGCACATCCCTGAGCATATATCAGGTCATTAGCAGTTAACTAAAGATCAATATATGTTCACAAACAATGGTTAACCAAACAGAAGATAAATCAAATGAAAATAATAACAGCACATTTCAAGTTTCAGTTCTACTGAAACTAAGAAAGACACTAACATGCCCCTACTGCAAAACAACCAGTAAACTGATTCTTTGGTCTCTATGTTTTATTGCTGACTGAAAAACAGACAATAAAAAAACTAAGAAGTGCAGAATAAGTCCCATTGCAATTGACAGTACTACTTTGAAATGGGCAAGTACAAAACATTAATAATTCGCTTTCATGGGAGTAAGTTTCACTATTTCATCATTCAGCAAAAGAGATGCTTTCAGATTTCATATACATACAGCAAGCATATTGTACTTGCTCAAACCTAACCACAACAAATGCAACATATAACAGATTCAAGGAAGCTGGTTCACACTTCACAGCACATAGATGATAAAAAGCAAATCAGCTAGCCAAGAAAACTAATTCCATTTTTCTCATTTAGCAACCAAAAAGTTGGCATCAACAACCTTTATGTTCTAGAGGTGACTTGAATCCAAGACAATAAGGGAAAAAATAACAACATTGGCAATGAAGATAATGACATGTGAACGAGCAAATGCCATCTGAAGAAAATTATAATTGGATTTATCAAAATTTCTGTCAACATGTGAATTACAGTAATCTCCCAACAGACAGGTGAGTAGGAATGGATCTTTAGTTTATTTTAGAAATTAACCAACTTACATAGATCGCATACTTCAACAATACTGAAGGGTGTTTGAAATGAAAGTTTCAAGAATGGAGGTAATACTCAATTTGCCTATAAAATGGTACTTCGTATTTGATTGATAGTTCAAACTAAACTCTTACCTCATTATTCTTAATTGCCCCCACAAGGGACTTAAATTACCCAAGCTCCTCTTAACAATCCACCAGGGCCCAACCTAGACCATCAACATCTAAATCCAGTCAGCAACTAGCTCTATTTATATTTTATCCCCATCAGTCACCACAAGCTACCAACAATCCAGTTCAAACACCAACACCAGACACCACTACCACCATCAGTCATCCCCATTCCTTAAATAAAAACCACAGCCATCATCAACCTAAACACCAAAACCCCCTTCTTGACGCCAGCCCAAAGCTCAACCCTACCATCCAAATTCCTACCCCTTACCATGTGGTTAACCCATTTTTCCACACCACCTCAGCCCAACAACCCAAAATTGCCACACAACTCCCCATCTCCTTCCTCGTAAACCCGCAAATGCTACAAGCTAGAGTGTCATAGATCAAGCTCCTTTGAGGGGTGTTTGCCATTTGGTTCATAGATTTTAGGTACGAGGTATGGGTTTAAATTGGGTAAATTCTATACCTGATGTTTGTTTAAAAATATTTCGATTTCTAGACTCATAGCTCAAATACACAAGGTATGGGGTTTAGAAACCCAAGGGGAAAGGTGGGTATCGTATCAGTTAATCAGTATGACTAATACCATACCTCAAGGTATCAAATATAAAGGAAAAAATTCATTCCCTAAAAACAACCAAACACAAGGTATTAAGAATCAAATTCCCACCTTCTTTTCATTCTTGATTCCAAACCATACTATGGTGTGAATCAAACACCCCCTAAATATCTTCAATGCTTTCTAAGTTTTTTTTCAAAAGTTTGCAACTTTGCAATACCTTAGAAAATATTATTATGGTAAAACAATGTAATTCCAAAATAAAGCTCTTTAGGGGGCAGTGATATGAGAGATCCAAGCTTCCTGCCCTAAGTTGTCTTTGCTTTCATGATTGTATTGTCGATAGACTTATGTTTATAGTGATCTAAGACACCCATAACTGAACACCCCGCGTCTAGTCTGCCAATAAATATAAGCCCCCTTTCAAAATCAGATCCCGCTTGTATTTCAATGTGCTCACAGGTTGAGCTTTTTTTTTACAAAAAATCAAAACCAATGAACACAAAGTTCTTCGGTGGCAATAGTCACAAATAGCAACTGGAAGGAAGCATCAGCATGATAGTAGCTGCAAAAGCACGCAATTGAGCTGGTATAATAAAGGTGGTAATAAGAACACTTAAGAGTAGGGAACGATAGAGTGACCAATGAATAATGAGTGAGGAGGTGAGGTTTTATTCCTTTGCCTCGGCAAACTCAAGCAATAAGAATTTAATATATTTATTACATCAACAAATCACAGCATGCAATTTAAGGGTTTTCAATCCTTTCCTTTAGGTCCCTCTCTTTATTTCATTCATATTCCCCATCAACATCCCAAACCAAAAGAACAAAGCAAATGTAACATGGATTTTTAGAAAAACAAATGAACTCATGCACATTAAAACCTGACGAGTTGACACCATAAAAACTACTCTATCCCAACATTAACAAACTTCAGCTATTCTTATAGCCTATGTAACTTCGATTCTTCATATAGTCTTTCATATTAGTGTCCACCACTCTTGACATTCTGACAAGGGTACGAAATCCTTACCCAATACTTCAATGCCCGCTCAGACAATTTAATCATCTTGAACCACATAAACAGGAAAAAAAAATGTACATATTATAGGGAGAAAAAGAAGAACATCTGCATTATGTGCTCACAAACAGGCTTCAAAAAAGCATTGTTTGTAAATGTATTTGAGTTCTCTAGGTTAAAGTTCATGCAAAAAGTCTTCTAAAAACAGGAATAATTTCCATTTATGCCATATCCCTGCACCCGTGTCCATATTTAAGACAAAATCTCCTTTTCGAAAATTGCTAACCTAGACATCTCGAAATCTTACATATGTACCTGCACATCTTGTAGCTACCCTACCATAACCCCCGCCCCCCACCACTACCACCACCGAGGAGAAAGAGGAACAACCCAATAAAGGTGGAAAATTGGAACATGAGATGAAACTGATAATGACCTAATGTCTACCAAGATTGTCAAGAAGCAGCACACAGTACACAGTTAAGTGTGTGAACAACAGGTGCATAGTAGCACGCAACGAAAAATACATTGTTTTTATTTATAAGATAAGGTAGGCTAACTCGGCTATTTCTAACAATGATTAAACTGAAACCTAGAAAAATCCATGTAGAACATTGCTTGAGCATGAAGAAATTTAAATTTTTCAAAAGATTTATTCAGCTTATCATGAAATATAACTATAATACTCACCACCATTCAACTTCTGGAATTGACTCCTTTGGCTTCTCTTTTGTAATAACTCTTTCTGAAACTTCAATCAAATTTGGATTTATGTTCGGCTCTGCCTTTGCCTTAGCCAGCTGTGCCTGCTTAGCCTTATGCTCCTTGGCTTGGGCTTCTCCAAATTGACTCTACATAGCAGCACCATATACATGTATAAGTGCACAAGAAACAGGAAACCAGAATATAGTACAAAATATCCCTAGAAAGAGGTACATACCTTCAGTTTGATAATTTCAGCATCTTTGGACCATTTACCTTCCTCAACAAACTGGAAACTCATTCTCTTGGGCCTAAGAAGTTTGGTTTTGTCAATACCCATCCTTGGGTCGAAATGTGGATTCTTCTCTGGATCAACTTCCAATTCTGGCTTGTGAATCTGGAATGCATCTTTTTTCTGCTTGTTAATGTTCACCTGAAAAAATTAACGCAAGAAATTGAGTCAGAAACAGACAGATTTGCACACAATGCTGGGAATGATAAACAAGTAATAGACCAACCTTAAGAGTACTAAGACTGCTTGGTTTAGATATGTTGACAACATTTCCATGCTCATCAATTTCCCTACCAAAAGCATCCAATCGAAGAACGGGAGCCTTTGCAGGTTTTTGAAGTGCTGCAGCATCAGGTGGCAACTGCCCGGGAAACAAATTAATCAAAGGAGCAAATTCTGTATCCTGGCGGAAGCCCATCTTGGCAGCAAGTTCCTGAGCACGCTTCACAGCTTCATACTTGGCAGGGTCTATCATGCCAACTGTCTTAGCAGAAGAAGCAGCTGGAGGAATGTTAGGTGGTGTACGCTGAATTCCAGCAGCATTAGAAAATTTATTTTCTTCTTTAGAGCCCCCTTGTGAGCTGACAACATTTGTTGAGCTAGTACCTTTATTTGACTGTCACCCCAATCGAAGAAGCGGATAAGAAGTTAAAATATACCCATTACATGCGGCAACTAGCAGAAAATATTGTGAAAGAATTTCAACTCATAATGGTAGCAATTGAACACAAAAGATATGGCATATGTGAAAGTTGGAGAAAATAAAAGGAACGCACCAAAGGAATCTTCTTCCATTTTTCAGCGAGTTCCTTCTGCATCTGTAAAGCTTTCTTAGCTTTTGCTAAAGCATCAAGGGAAATATTGCCACTCTTGCCAGCAGTTGAAGGTGTCCCATCTGTACTAGATTTTCCAGTAACCTCATGAGATCCGGTAATATTAACTCCCTTATTTTCATTGGTGGTAGAAATTGAAGATACCTTGGTGGCCGTATGGTTATTAGCAGAGAAAGATTCCGATGGAAATCTTGATGACACATTGAGTGATTCCTCAGCCCCATCCTGCAAGAGAAAAAAGAATGCTAATCAACATCAAAAAGTTCGTGATACTTTGAGTAAAATTTTCAACCATCGCCCCAAAAAATCTAGGTTATTAGACACAGTGTCCGACAAAGGAAAGCTTGTCTTGACATTGACTTCCAAATTAATCACTTCGGCAGATCATAAGTAATAAAGATGCATAAATTCATATCACAGAAACTACCAGTAAACAACCGATGATAAAGCAATGAATGACCTAGCTAGCAAAATCCAAATAAGACACAACAAAATACTTTAAACTAACACTATGGTGTTTCTGCGTCGGAGGGGGGAAAGCACTTAATTTTGCACACCCCTCCCCCCTCCTCCTGTTAACCCAGAAAAAAAAAAAAAAAAAAAAAAAAAAAAAAAAAAAAAAAAAGACACCTCTACTGTAAGTACTATTTGGAACACCACGCCTGTATCATAGAAAATAATGAACAAAACTAACCAACCAAACCCAAACTGAAAGAGTCGAAGTCAGTCATCATTTTATTTGTCATATTACTATTCTTCTATAGCAATAAGCCTTAATGGTTGGTCGACAAAAAATATACACAAGTGGAGAATACAGACATGTTCAGCCGCTCCTGGTGAAGTTGCCAGACAACAAAAATCCTAAATCTTGTTCAATTGCAATTTCCTACAATGCATTACCTCCAACTCCCAACCAAACGTCGATAATCATAACCTAGTGCATTCATATAATCAAACACTCCATAAAAGAAAACATTCAACCCATTACACGAAGCTCACTAACACTACTCAATCATACTACATTCTAATTCAAAGACAATTACCAACATACATTCAAAAGCAATGAACCTTTAATAACAACCATAAATAAAAAATTAAAGGCAATAATCTTACATTCGGACGGGAACCACTCCTGTTACTAGGCTCAGCAACAGATTCACCATCCTCAAATCTCCTCCTAGCCCTCTTCTTCCTATCACTATTACTATAATCGCCGCCATCGCGGCCACCACCGCCTTCTTCGTCTTTCTTCACCTGAACTTCTTCTTCCTTAAACCTACCATTACTTTCATCATCCTCAAATCTTCTTTTCTCTCTCCTCGAAGATCGTCCCTTCTCATGGTTTCGTTCTGACATTTAAGGGTTATATAAACCAAAGCCTGCAACACCATTAACAACCAAAATTGATTCAATTAACAAAGTAGGGTACAAAAACTACATCAAAATTCTTCGAATAATAACAACCAATAGTTCAATAATCCACTTTAGAAGAACCCTAAATGAGTATATTGACAATTGTGTTACAGATTAACACTAGATTGTGAAATTGATAAGCGATAATTAAAAAAACATAAAAAAAAAAAAATCTAACCTCAGAGATTGCTTCAATGGAGGAGAGAAAGCTCACAAACTGCTTCAATGGAGGAGATAGAGAGGGGGAGGGGTGCAGCGATGCGCGCAATTGTGAAAAATCCCTAGAGGGGGAAAAAGGGAAAATATATGGAGTATAGACGTTATTGATGATTCCGTTTTCCAAAGGGAAAAAAAAAAAATACAACTCCCTCCCTCCCTATTTTTTTTGCCCCATTGTCAAAATATGGGTCAAATTTTAAAAATTTTGATCATAAATTTCCGTTGTTGTAGAGAAACAAATACAATCATGTGGATCATATTTGGTTCGTCTAATTGTAAAATTAATTGATATCAACTTTTTATAATTTTAACGTGTTTGAAAATAGAGATATAAACGTTTTAACACGTATCCTGGAGACCGCGCAAAGTCAAATGGGGTAAAACTAAAGGGACAGAGGGAGTATGAAAAAAATTTTATGGGTGGTAGGTATTAAGAGCATAAATATTGGCAAGGATGCTAAAATCCTTTCCCATCTTCTCTCTCCTTTCCTTCACTTCACACATCACACTCTCTTCCTTCCACATCACTTTCCACTATCTCCATCCTTTTACCCATCCTCTTTCTTAAATATTTCCAACATCAATGAGTATCCTTTCCCATTTTCTCTCTCCTATTTACATATGCCCCACCATATACTCTCTCTTCTATTAATACACTTAATTATTATTAAAGTTTGTAAAATATTATTATTATTATTATTATTATTATTATTAATTGAACATAAAATATGTCAACTATTACTTTTTCACCTTAGCACGTTAATATAAAAAAATAGTAAAATATGAAATACATTAATTAAAACACTTAAATTAAAAATATGAAATACACGGATGAAAAAAAGCAACAAAGATAACATACATAATTTAAAATTATTAGAATGCTAATTTTCAACCGAGCTCTTAGACCTTGCCCATAAATGCTCAACCAGGTCGTTCTTTAATGCCACATGAACTTGTCTATCACGAATCTCCCCTCTTGAAGCTATCTATCTACTAAAATTATTAGGATCATAATGCCCGAGAGTTACGGTAAATGTTGTTGCATTTCTGGTTGAGGACGACCCTGGCATATTTTCAGGCTGTTCTTGGCCGAATTCAAGTGGATCTTTATAGTTTAAATATGTATCACACTCGTTTTCAACTATCATGTTGTGGATGATGATGCAAGTCATCATGATTTTCTACATCAACTCTACACTCCATGCCAAAGCAGGCTTCCTAATTATTGCAAACCGATCTTGTAACACACCAAATGCATGCTCAACATCCTTTCTAGCACTCTCTTAACGTTCAGTGAACAATTTATCCTTTAAGGTTTGTGGGGCCGCAATAGCATCTATAAATGTCGACCATTTTGGAAAAATCCCATCTGTGAGATAATATCCTTTGTTGTAATTATTTCCGTTAACTGTGAACAAAACTTGTGGAGAACGATTATTTATTATATCATCAAACACCGGAGAACGTTGAAGTACATTAATGTCGTTGCATGATCCAGGCATCCTAAAGAAGGCGTGCCAAATCCATAAATCCCTGGAAAGCAATAGCTTCTAAAATAACAGTCGTCGTTTTAGATCTTCCTTGATACATTCCTTTCCATCTAGCTGGACAATTTTCCATACCCAATGCATGCAATCAACACTGCCCAACATGCCAAGGAAATCTCTGTCCTCCACTTCTCTGCGGCGTTGGATATCTTTCAATGTTGGCTTGCGAAGGTACTCAGTTGCAAATTGAGCAATTACTCCTTCGACAAACTGTCCAAGACATTCTCTAGCAGTGCTTTCACCGAGCTTCAGATATTCATCTACTTGATCAGCTAAACAACCATAAGTTAACATACGTATGACTGCTGTGCATTTCTGAAGGGGTGAAGCACCAAGACGCATGGTAGCATCTGGGTGTTGTTGGAAGTAACGGTTAGTTGCTCTTAATGTGTTGGCAATGCGAAGGAAAAGGGGTCTTCGCATACGAAACCTCCTTCGACACGCGGTTTCATCGTATACCGGTTGGTCACTAAAGTAATCTGCAACTAAATTGTCGTGAGCTGCTTCACGATTTCTCGGCACAGTTATCCTTCGTTTTCTTTGACGTTTTTGTTCATTTTGCTGTACAGAATTGTTTACAGCTACAAGTATTGCATTCGGCATTACTTGTAATCGATGACTCTCATTGATAAAATTCATGACCATTTGATCATAGATTTCATCAGTTGAACTCTAAGACGAAGAAGAACTTGAAGAGTTTGAATCGAAATTCATATTATGTTTATTACCAAACAATATTTGAGATAAAAGGTTTTTTTTTTTTTTTTTTTTTTTGGGCCTGAGGGAAATAGATGGTTGATATTAATAGATGTAATGTTATTGGGAGTAATCTTATGAATTTTATAGATAAAAATAGGATAAGGTTAGTCAAAAGATAAGATTTCTGATAAGGATACACTAGTAGAAAAAACTAAATAGGCACTTCCCCTATAGCACCGGTTCTTGAAAACCGGTGCCAAAATAAATGGGCGGGACTTAAAAATTCATAGTTGGCACCGGTTCTAACCAAAAGCGGTGCCAAGCATTTAATTAGCACCGGTTCAAACCGGTGCCAACTTATGAAAAAAAAAGTATGGGAAGGAGTTGGCACCGGTTCTCCTTAAACCGGTGCCAACTAAGGTAATTAGCACCGGTTTAAACCGGTGCCATTTTTGAAAAAAAAAACGCGGGTTTGCTATATCTAGGTTCAACAACGTCTTTCTTCTTCATTCCTTCGTTTTATCTTCAATTCCCACACAATTTTCCCTCTTCTCTTCTCCCTCCATCTCCTAGCTAGCTTTCTCACTTCCATTGAAGGGCTATGCGAGCTTTCTCACCTCCATTGAAGCAGTTACCGGACGTTCATACTCCATACCCATCTCTCCTCCATTGAAGCAGCTTCAAGGTAAGTAGCTAGCTTAGGTTTTACTTACTGCATTGATGAATTCCTTCGTACTCTTGACTTTTTTGAGGATTTGCTTTTCAATTTAGTAATTATAAGTTTATTGTAATCTAGGGTTTGTCAATAGACGCGCATTGCTCCCCTTCCACAACGACCTTCTTGTCACGGTTGGTCTAAGGCGCCAGTTTCAGGTACATTTCAACCCTTCTGTTTTTAGAAGACAGTACCTATAAGAACTTAGGAAGTGTTGCTTGCCAAACTCTGCTTGCACTACAGTGAACCTAAAGGTGGTTGTTTGTGCAGTTGATTATCATGGCCTCAACTTTCCAATTTGTAATTTTGCTTTTTGGTTTGGTACTCTGCCTAATGTCTTGGGCTCTCCTTAAGTTTCTACGAATTGTTCTCTGCCTTACTTCAAAGTTTAGGAGTTGTGTATGCTATTTGTTATTGATGAGATAGGTTTGATAGGAGCTATAACCCCTTTTTATTTCAAATATTTTTTTGATCTTAGTTTTTAACTTTAAAATTTTTAAAGTACTGGGTTTGATTATTGGTACTCTTAAATCCCTTTGTTTAACGAGCCATGCCAAAAGTCAAAGGAAGGGGTGGAGGTGAGAGGGTCTAGCAACAGTGTTTGTCTCGGTCAAACTTTGATATGTTACTTTGTTTGTTGTGTAATAATTATCATAAACATTAACAATGAAGTTCAAGGCTTATAGTTTCGCAGTTTGGATGAATTGTATAAGTAAACTTGAGACAATTAGGTGTAAATGGTAGGATTAAGAGTTGGGTTATTGGTGTAATCAAGGATGCTTGTACAGCAAGCCACATTTAGAAGACAAGGAAAGTAATTAGAAAGGTATAAATGCTAATAAGCGGAATAATTTAGGCATAGTTTCACATGTGCTTGCTAACTTTAGAGTATCTCCATTTTCTCTCTCATTCCTTAATCATATGCCCCTATTTGTATTTATTATCCATTTCTCATACATACTTATTAACCTTTGTTTTTTGTTTTGTTTTTTCTTTTTGCGTTTTTATAGATTCATATGTGAATTGAAGTTCAAGTTTAGCTTGAAGACTACATATTTAGCTCAAGTGGGAAGTTAGAAAGAATACATCCATTGTATTGGTATGAATTATAAACTTCTCTAAGCTATATATATTTCTTTCTCTTTATTGTTTTAATAAAAGTTTTTTCATGCTATTTGTGTATTATATAATGACAAATAAATACAACAATAAATATATGAAATGGTTGCATCATCATATGCCTAGATACCCGTTCAAGGCTTTCTCATTAGGAGAATGTCTTGAATAGTCCCCGGTTGGGACTGTTCTTGAACGTTTACTCTCACTTAGGTGGTGAATGTATGTCTTTTTTTTCGATTTTAAGGAACATCTTGGCTTACCATTTCCTCGATCACCATGTTCTCTGGGTACATATGTGGTAAGTAATTACCTACGTCGTGTACTTGGAGAACTGGGGGGAAATGTTGCCGGATTTTCCTTAAAATTGGAAAGTCGACATACATTCACTAGTGAGAGTAAACGTTCAAGGATGGGTTAGGTTGGAGTGATAAGGACCCTTTGGAAGCATATATGCATTTTTGTATCTATATGAATGTTATATGCATGGTGTGTGTTTGAATTTGATTTACATATATAAAAGATGTAGCAATTATACATTATTCGTAATATGTTGCCATGTTTAGAGACAATTTACTTAATGGAGAAGGATCGTGGCTGGATGTATGGTAGACGTGATACATTGGAATTCTTTGATGGGGTTCAAGAGTTTTGCGAGAGGGCTTCATCTTATCAGCGCATAATGGGTGTCGATTGCCTCTATTGTCCTTGTGTTGACTGTAATAATGTGAAGGTGGTCAATAGTGTTGATATCATTAGAGATCATGTAGTTTGTCGTGGGTTTAGGCTTAAATACCATGTGTGGATTTGGCACGGTGAAGAAGGAGAGTACAGTGGGGATGTTGATGGGAATGATGTGCATGATGATAGAAGCAATGACATTCGTGTGGACGAGGAATACAGGGATGATGTACATATTGTTGATAATGGTGATGAGGATGGATTTGAGGATGATCATGTGGATGAGGTCGAGGATGAAGGGGTGGATGAGATGATGTGTGGTTTTCAAGGTGACGTGTTTGAGTCATTATCGGAGGCTTCTAAAAAGCCTTTGT